CTTCATGTATTCTGGATATTTTACTGCAACAGCAAACATAATATTTTAACAAAACAAGCATATGAATTTTTGAATTTAGTTAAACATTTAAGTTTTTTAAAATCAGGTTTGTTTTTGTTAAAATTGTTTTTAACTAAAATAGTTAAATGAAATATTTAAAAAAACATTAAATCTACTGTGTCAGCCAGGTCAACATGAGAAACATAAAATTTTGGCTTCTGCAGCTAACTCAGTCGTCTTCACCTTCATTTTCTTGTTTGTTCTTAATCTGGAAAAGAAAAACAAGCTTTCCTGCTTTTTCAGGTCCCAAACAATTTCTCAATTTGGAATGAATTAGTCCAAAGGAAGAAAATATTCTTTCTACACCGGCAGAAGAAGCTACTGCTCTTAAAAGTGAGATTATTACTTCAACAGTCTCTGAATCCAAGTGCTTAAGTGACTTACATCAATTCACTGGTGTGATTTTCTTTAAAACATCAGCAAACATATATTTCTTGAATGGTTCACCCTTACCTCTGAAGTTTATTATAACTGGCATTATGGAGGGATGATTGCTGGATGTCCATGTCATAGCCAACTCCTCTTCTTCAGCAGTTAAGATTTGACCCTGGTACTGAGTATTGAGAATATCTGCAAGAAAATGAGCTGGAGATAGTGCTTGTCCCATTCTTTTTTTTTATGCTTGTAATTTAACTCTGTCGTTGCATATTTCTCTTTTTAAGATCTCACTCAGTTCCTTCCAAATTTCAACAGCGTCAGCAATAAAACAGCTATTTCCCTGCATTTTGTTCAAGGTTACAGAAATAGGCTTCGGGGCACTCAGCATGTGTTCAAGATTTCTCTTAAATCCAATGTTGAGAACTTTGGCTGTGGCAGTGCCATCTATTTTTTCACAATTTTGTTCACAAACTGTCGTCAGATTAGGCCAGTTCTTGATATAGTGCTCAAAACAGTCCACTGCTGAGTTCCACCGCACGTCTTGTGGGAGAGTTAGCTTGGCTCCTCCCACTTTTTTCAGAGCAGCTGCTGCAAAGTGGTAGTTACGGAAGTATTTTGCAATTTCAACAACATTAGCCTTTATTTCTGGAACACTGAACTCTTTGGCTAGGAGGAGCATCAAATGAGCACTGCAACCATATGTTATTAGCTTAGGACTCTATTCTAAATAATTTCTTCTCATCTTGGATACATTTGCAGCATTGTCTGTGACCAAGCTGCGTACTAGACATTTGAATTTTTTTTCACAGTTCATTATAGCTTTTACTGCTTCTTCTTGAACGTATTCTACTGTGTGTACATTTCCTGATGTATCAATTGTTTCTGTAAGGAAGGCAGTCCCTTCTTCTGTTGTCACACAAGTACATACAACAAGATCACCGTGGACATTGCTCCGCCCATCAAGACTCAGGTTAACAATTTTACCCTCTAGATCTTTCGCACACTGGTCAATTTCTCTTTCATACACTTTATCCAGCGATTTGCATGTGACATCTGCTCTGTTGGCTGGACTGTATCCTGGTCTTAATGACTGAACCAGGTTAATGAAGTGTAGGTTCTCAATCATATGGAAAGGAGAGTTTGTTGCATAAACAAACTGGGCAATTTTTTAATCAATTACCTCCTTTTGTAATCTGCTGGTTCTTATCACAAACTTAACTATGGTTGTTTCTGGATGGTGGAATTTTTTTTTCCTTTTTGCTACTGTGGCTATGTGACATACATGATGTGACTGAAACACTATCCCTGGCAGATAACTCTGAAACTATAGAAAATGATGGTGATCTTGAGGGTGAATAGTCTTCAGAATCCAGAATTCTTCTAAACAAAATAAGTCAATGCAGTTATTTAATTACTGTTACGATACTGCTCATTTAGTATTACTCATTGCATTCACTGACAGGCCGTACTACTTTAAAGATGAAATTGTAAAAGGAAGATCTGCCTATTTCAGCTATTTATTTTTTATCACAACTCCATCTAAAATGATAGTACCAAAGAGTAACAACTATATTTTTTGTTCAAACATGAGAATTCAAGAATGGTCCAGAAGGAAGACAGAAAGTCCTTAAGAAAGAAGTATGAAATAAAAGTTTACTAACCTGAAGGTCCTGCATGTTCAGACATGTTCCTTTCATCATCTTCAATGCATCTTCCTCCTGAGAAGTAACACTTCTCATGAACTTGTTTCATTCGGGCGACCAAGCCTTGCATTTCTTTGTTGCACTGTTTGCATTTTGCACGCATACCTGTCTTACCCACAGGTAGAGGAACTTCATTAAAATATTCCAAAACTGGGTCTCTTTTACGACCTGCTGCCATTATAGGTTTTCCCTTTTAGTGAGAGAATTGTATGGTAGATCTCAAATCAATGAAGACTACACTCAGAAAGATCTCAAGACTTCTGGAATATGCTGTTCAAACAGTTTCACTTTTGTTTCTACTGCCTGTCCCTTCCTTCTCACATTTATCTCCAGACTTCTCCTTGTCCAGCTCTATTCCACCCCCAACAATCTTCTATTCATTGAACTTTTTGAAACTTTTCACTTTTAGCGAGAGATTGACTCTGTGTACACAAATGTGCAGAGGGACAATACGGTTGAGGTCTGTTATTTCTCACCTCTATATATTATATATTTTTTTATTTAAAAACATTTTTGCTGTTAACAAGCACGTTATCTCTGGAGAGACAAATCCACAGTTTGAGAACTGCAAAACTAAGCATCTCTGTTGGTATCTTCTAGACTGAGCACTGAGTCCCAGTGGGTAGATAGAAAGATTTAACCTAATAATCTATACAGAAGACCCTGGAACTCCATAAGATTGGGTCCCTAAGCCATGAACTTCTGGAACTCATTTACAAAACTTTTCTTAAACATTACATGAATATATGGTCTCATACTATAGAATTAGAATTTATAATCCCTGATCAGAAATCTTTGAGCTATAAAGTATCTTAATTAAAACTAACTTTAGGTTAGGTTTTTTCCTCAAAAAGCATTTTATTCAAAAAAATCCGATTTAAATAAAAAAATCTGATTTTTTTTAAATCACGCACTAGCACAATAGAATTGCTTTCAAAATAAAAAAATCTGATTTTTTTTTTAAATCACTGATTTTTATCCACCCTGGTCTGCACTTGGAATTAGCCCTGATTTCACATATCAACTTAAGTGCATTGATGCAAAACTCTAATGTAGACAACCAAAGCAACAATTTGCACTAGTAGAATTTACCCCTGCTTCTACTGGTGCAAAAGGCAGCTTTCCATTTTTATATTATGGGTTTATGCTCATTCAGCTATATCAAAGACTGAAATTGGGACAAATTCCAAGAGCAGACAGGGCATAAGATACAGAAATGTGCATGTTATCGTCCTATTATGTTAAGTAGAGCAGTGTAAATTCTTCAGAATTACCTGCAAATATTGATTTAAATTAAAGATGGAAGTTACTTAGACTTTGTAGAAAAGGAGTACTTGTGGCACCTTAGAGACTAACCAATTTATTTGAGCATAAGCTTTCCTGAGCTACTAACAGGGCTATTACTCTGAAACCTTAGACTTTGTTGAGCCCCTTGTTGTTCACTTTCTGTGAATATTCTAGAAAATTAGTTTACTGACAGGAATGTTTGCAGAAGCATTACATTTAGGGTGACCTAGATGTACTGATTTTATAGGGACAATCCCGATTGTTGGGTCTTTTTCTTATATAGGCTCCTATTACCCCCCCCCCCACTTCCTGTCCCGATTTTTCACACTTGCTGTCTGGTCACCTGAATTACATTTTAAGTGAATACAGAAGTACACTGGCAGAAACCAAATGTTGAACTGGTATATATGATTGTCTGCACTAGAAACCTCCTTCCAATTGTTATTCTAATGCAAGGAAAAGAACCAATCAAAATGTAACAACAGAGTTTTGAGTATCCAGCATTATTACCTACACTGTTTATGAGTAATCTATAGACCAAGAATTATTCACAAAAATTATTCTATGATTTCAAATAACTAAACTTGGCAACATTGTAAACTGCTCACAGACAATTCACAAACATAGATTAAATTACTCACAATGTATTTTATGTTCAAATCTAATATTAATCTTGAGAGTGCCATTTCAGTTCCAAACCTTTTCCTCGGCAGTCACGCACTAGCACAATAGAGTTGCTCTCAAAACTCCACTCTATATTAATAAACAAGGGGGAAAAAAACTAAAGCTGTGGGTGTCCAATTTATTATTTAATCAGATTTTCTTCCTACAAAATATGTATATGCAGTTTGTTTAGGGAAGATTAATATATGCAAATATAATAAAAATGTCTTAACAATATTAAAAATATGTCAGGTTCATTGTTATTAAGATGACTGAAGCTCTGGAATGATTAAAGACAGTCTTATTCTACAGAAAGAAGAAATCACAAGCATTTAATCTGGAGGGAGAGAATGTGAGTATACTAGATTTAATAAAAAAGAGAACGATCATTATCCATGTGTTTGTGGAGTTTTAAATTAAATGGTTTAAAGTTAAGTTTTTTCAAATATAGATGACTTAAGTATTGCTGCAATGTTCTGAGGATTTGTCTGCTTGCAATCATTAACCTGCTCATAGAGGAGATTAGCGACACTCACAACAGACAGTCCCAAAAGAATTAATACTCCTTTGCAAATTGACCACTCCTTCAAGCATGAATTATTTTTAGCAAAGGTTGCACTGCTACCTCCCATTTTAGAGAAAATGGAAGCTGAATACTTAGGGGTATGAGTCCCAAATAATTCAATTACATGTACCTATGTTTTCCCTCAGCCCTAAGAAAGGGAGGAGTTAGGTTCTGCCTTAAAGTCAATCCTGACAAATCCTATTGACTTCCCTCAGCTTGTATAAAGCATTAAGCAGGGTGGAGTTTGGTCCAAGCAAGACCTGTGCCCAGCAGCTCATACAGCTTGAAAACTAAATGTTCAAAAACAGAGGCCCAAGTTTCATGGGCAAAAATGTATTTGCAACTGCGTTTTGACTATTGTGTGAACGATTATAGAAGTCACGTGCGAACAGCTAGGTGTTTAAATGGCACTTGCATGCACAAACACCCACTCTGCCCCTACAACAGTGATAATTTCCAGTGCAAACAGAGACACAACTGTTCACACATTTTTCCGTACAAGCGCTGGGGGTCTCCTACGGGAAGTTTGGGTTTTGAGATATACGCAGGTTCGTTGTAATTAACAAAAGTTGCAGCGCCGTTTAACGAAGTTGCACGGGGCGGTGGGAGCACACGGGCCTGGCAGAAGGGGTGAGGTGTCAGGACCCACTGGGAGAAGAGGAAACGCATTTGGTGAGCGTTAATGGGTAAGACTTAAGAGCGACGCAAAATGGAGCGTGTGAAAGGCGCAGCCAGTCATTCTGCTCAGGTACGTTCAAGGCCAGCATCTGAAACAACCCAGCCCGGGGCCGGACACGTCCGGATCGCCTCCGTGCTCTGCGGCCCTGAAAACGCTATTAGCCGGCAAATCGGCCGCAGAGGCGGGGCCCTGGGGCTGCCCCACTCCCCGCGCATCCTCCCCCCACCAGCCCCCGCCCGCCCGCTCGGCTCTGGTTCGGTTCTAAGCGCGGGGGCGAAGAACCGCCATGTCCCGGACTCCAGGAGACGGAGCCAGACACGTGACCGTATCCCCTTCCCAACGGGCAGGGGAGGGGGCGGGGCTCGGTCCCCCGAGTAGCGGGGGCTCGGTCTATGCGGTCACTTCCGGTGTTGGTGGGTTGCTAGGTAACGTGTATGGCCGCGCGGGCTCAGTTTCCACCCCTCAGGTCAATGCAGCTGCGGCGGCAGGAGCGGAGCGGCTGCTGCGCAGCGCCTAGGGCGAGCTTCTCTCGGACGGGCCCGCGCGGGCCCGGGACAGGCAGCCACGGGAGGTGGGACCCGTCCGTGCAGGGCCCGGCTCGTGGGGTAGGGGGGCGGCCGGCCGGCCCCGGGGCTGGGGTTCAGTGGGTCAGAGCTCGTGTGCGCCCTGCAGCGCAGACCTGCCCGGGGCGGGGGGAATCCGCCGCACGCCGGCGCCTCCTGCAGCGCCCCGGGCCAGCCCGAGCGGAGCTGGCCAGATGCATTCCCTTTAGGGGCGGGCAGAGCCTTGCTTCAATCGCGCTGTCTGATCCGTTGTTTAAACCCGCAGGAGAGATTTGAGTTCACTGGAGCCCAGTGCTGAGGGCGTGAAAACACGAAGAACCTGCATAAGAGTCATTTCTCCAGCCTTTTCCCCCACCATGTCTGATGAAGATATTGGCACCACTTTAGCCTATACCAAGAGCCCCAAGGTCTCCAGGAGAACCACTTTTCAGGTAAACTATTTTACCCCACGTTGTCCGATTAAAAAATCGGTCATCTCTAGGCTAGCTAAACTGGCAAACCCTCCTAGTGCAGGTACAGCTTATCCTAGTAAAAACGTGTTCTTGCCAGGATCATCTGTACCCGTTTGGCAAGTGAAATAAAAGCGCTTTTTTATGCAGGTACATGTACAGTGGAGTTTTTGCCAGTTTAGAAATGTCACCAAAATCACACCCCTAAACGACATTGCTATACTGGCTAAAGTTTCTATTGTAGACCTGGCCTTTGTGTTACTAAGGTTAGCGACGAAAACAACTCTGCTGTCAATATACGAGAAAAGCAAAAACTTTCCTATCTTAAAAGTAGAATTGACATTCTCATTTAGTTTCGGTGTGCTTCTTTAGAAAAATCATACTGAGGTTTTCTTGATCTCCTAAATGTACACAATAATTGTCCTAGTTTAAAGTAAAACATCTAGTTTAAACCAATAAAAGCAAGGAACTTCGGACTACAAATCCTGGGTGGGTAACTTTTGCATGCAGCCAGTTTGTTACAGTAGCTTTGGTGTTGGTCATGAAAAGATTTTAGTATATGCTTAACTTCTAAGTCAATGGGATTTGTTATATGCTTGAAGATAAGCACATGCATAAATCTTTGCATGATCAGGGTTTAAGTTTTCAAGGTTGCAGGTGATGTTTATAGAAGATGTCTCCTGTCCAGTAATAAACTACACAGGAGGTGACTGAGGAAAAGAAAAACTTTGTCTTGAAGATTTTTGTGGTGCTTCTAAGATATCCTGTTAGGTATATTATTAATTAATTAATTAATTAATTCATAGTTCCTCACTTACCCATTGTCAGATCCTTTATTTTTGGTGGTAGATTCTATAGGACCTGAAAAGATCTGTGTGGCCTCTTTGTGAAAGCACATTAACGAAGATTATATGCACTTTACTGGAGGGTGTCTCTGCTTCCAGGTTGCTAGTGGCTGGTAATTTTTGAACAAGAAAACACTCCCTACTATTGACTAGCTTAGGAGGGGAGCTGTCTAATATGCTTGCTTTTGTGGATCCCATTCTTAAATGCTTATCTCTCCCCATTCATTGTATAGGGAGCCTAGATACCTAACTCAGGCTTTGTGGTTTTCAGTGCTCTCCAAGGCACCTAAAAGTAAGGCCTTGTGACAGCAGTGTAGCTCCTAAGTCCCTTTGGATCTGGGCTGAAGTGACATACCCAATGTCACACAGCAGGCGCTATCGGAAACAGGCCATGTCTTCTGACTCCCAGTCAAGCAATTTGTTAACTAGGCAAATATTTTCCAAAGAGTGGGCAAGCCCACTGGGAAGAGGGAGCACAAAGTTGTAAGGGGTTGGGGGTTTTACTCAAAAGATATATAAACTAAGATGCATAGACTTTTAGCAGTATGTGGCAAGGATGGAGAGGGGGGTCCAATTGGTGTTGTTTTCCTGAAAGGTGCATCAGCTTTCAAAATTTTGGGAATCACTATACTACACCAGTTTGCTCACCCACTCCCTCTCGCCCCCAAAGATTCATATCTGTTACTGTCCCAAAACACTTTTTGGTAGTGGGAAGAATGAGAGTTGAACTTGAAGTAATGGATCTTAACTTTTATTCAAAAGGAATCTATTAAAATATTTCAGGATGAGCTACAAGAAGCAATTTCTGCTCGTGCAGCAAGACAGCAAACTGCTGAATACTCAGATGACTTTGACAGTGATGAGGATGGTATGTTAAATAGTAGCAGTTTTGTTTGTGTTCTCCCCCTCCCACCCTTCGCTGATAGATCACTAAAGATCCTTTGGAGCCAATATGGTTTAATGTACTAAGATTCCACATTACAACTATTCCTAAATTATGTACCCTGTCCTGCTCAATAAAGTTAGGACCAGAATTCCTATTGACATCAGTAGGTGCAAGATTGGGCCATTGTTTTTCCTCAGTCCAGGGTCTATATAATTTTAAAGGATTTTTTACTTTTTTTATGCAGCCGAAGCCCTAATGAATCAGTTCCCTCCCTATCTCTTTAAAGGAAGTTTGGCCTTTTAAATGTCATAAATTACATTATATTACATTGTAATTTTAAGACACTTCATCCATGTGATACCTGGTTTTACTCACCATATCTGCCAGATCTTTTATATTACACTGATGTGCAAAGGCCCAGACATTTCTTTAAATACAGACTACACAGCAAGTCCCTTCCTTCCTGAATTTGACACGTTACATGTCTGAATGCATCCGATGAAGTGAGTTGTAGCTCACGAAAGCTTATGCTGAAATAAATTTATTAGTCTCTAAGGTGCCACAAGTATTCCTTTTCTTTTTGTGAATACAGACTTACAGGGCTCCTGCTCTGAAATCTTTGATACTTCTGTGTTCTTTAGTGGGCCTTTTTTTTTTTTTTTACCTGAAACAACTCCGAGCAATTAGTAATAACAGGGACAAGGGCTTATAAAACAGCTTTCTTAATCAAAACTATACTTTGGGGCAGGGCCTGCCTTAGGGAAAATGGCACTCTGGGCAAACTTGTATTTTGGTGCTCCTGGCCCCCGTGGGCATGGTGACCTCCCATTGCCCTGGCCCCTGCGAGTGCCCCCCATTGACACGGGCCCCCTGGGTCCCCAGGCTCCCCACCACCCTCTACACCTCTAACCCCTGCACTGTGCCCCATATGCACCCTTAACCCCTGCACTGTGCACCCTTTGCCGCTAACCGTTGCACTCCTTTCCTGTGCCCCTAAGCTCTGCCCTCCCCTCCTAGACCCATGTGGAGAAACTGAGCTGGATGCGTGGAGCAGCTGGCATTGATGCTTGCTCCCCCAAATGCTGCTCCTCTGTGTACTCCTAAAGGTTTGTGAGGTGGGGAGCGAGGAGCGATGTCAGGGCTCCGTGCATCCAGCTCACTTTCCCCACCTGGGCTGAGTAAGGAGAGGGCAGGAGAACAGCAGCTCCTGATGCTTCCTTCACAGCACAGCCCAGGTGGGGAAAAAGAAAAGGTGTACTTGTGGCACCTTAAAGACTAACCAATTTATTTGAGCGTAAGCTTTCGCGAGCTACAGCTCACTTCATCGGATGCATAAAGTGGAAAATACAGTGAGGATGTTTTTATACGCATAGACCATGAAAAAATGGGTGTTTATCACTACAAAAGGTTTTCTCTCCCTCCACCCCACTCTCCTGCTGGTAATAGCTTATCTAAAGTGATCACTCTCCTTACAATGTGTATGATAATCAAGATGGGCCATTTCCAGCACAAATCCAGGGTTTAACAAGAACGTCTGAGGAACAGTAGTAGGTGACAGGACAGGCCTAACAAAGAAAATAACAGAACGCCATTAGCCGTCACCTTCAGCCCCCAACTAAAACCCCTCCAACGCATGATCAAGAATCTACAACCTATCCTGAAGGATGACCCATCACTCTCACAAATCTTGGGAGACAGGCCAGTCCTTGCCCACAGACAGCCCCCCAACCTGAAGCAAATACTCACCAGCAACCACATACCACACAACAGAACCACTAACCCAGGAACCTATCCTTGCAGCAAAGCCCGTTGCCAGATGTGCCCACATATCTATTCAGGAGACACCATCACAGGGCCTAATAACATCAGCCACACTATCAGAGGCTCGTTCACCTGCACATCTACCAATGTGATATATGCCATCATGTGCCAGCAATGCCCCTCTGCCATGTACATTGGTCAGACTGGACAGTCTCTACGTAAAAGAATAAATGGACACAAATCAGATGTCAAGAATTATAACATTCATAAACCAGTCGGAGAACACTTCAATCTCTCTGGTCACTCGATTTCTGATCTCAAAGTGACTATCCTTCAACAAAAAAACTTTGAAAACAGACTCCAATGAGAGACTGCTGAATTGGAATTAATTTGCAAATTGGATACAATTAACTTAGGCTTGAATAGAGACTGGGAGTGGTTGAGTCATTATAAAAAGTAACCTATTTCCCCTTATTAATTTCCCCCCCGTTTCCTCAGACGTTCTTGTTAAACCCTGGATTTGTGCTGGAAATGGCCCACCTTGATTATCATACACATTGTAAGGAGAGTGATCACTTTAGATAAGCTATTACCAGCAGGAGAGTGGGGTGGGGGGGAGAAAACCTTTTGTAGTGATAAACACCCATTTTTTCACAGTCTGTGTGTATAAAAACATCCTCACTGTATTTTCCACTTTATGCATCCGATGAAGTGAGCTGTAGCTCATGAAAGCTTATGCTCAAATAAATTGGTTAGTCTCTAAGGTGCCACAAGTACTCTTTTTTTTCTTTTTGCGAATACAGACTAACACGGCTGTTACTCTGAAACAGGTGGGGAAAGTGACCTGTATGCACGGAGCGCTTGGTGTTGCTCCTCGCTCCCCCCATCACAGCCCCTTAGGGGGACGCAGAGGAACATTGAGAGGGAAAGCAGTATCTATGCATCACCGCTCCCTCTTCCCCCCACCAGCTTCCTATGCCAGGAGGAAGCAGGGAAAAATCAGGGTGCGTCCCCCCCCCACCGCCACGCCACGCTCTCCTGCCAGCCAGGAGCGGTTTCTGACTTTATGCCAGCAGTGCACAGTTCTGCGCTGCTGTGTGGTGCCCCCCTGGACCATGGCACGTCTTAGCGGTTGCTGAGGTGGTCCACCCCTAAGACCGCCCCTGCTTCGGGGTGTTGTATAGAACAGGGCAAGGACCGTGTCTTATTTGTGAAGTTTATAATGTAAATTTCTATTGGACACAACCAGTGAGTGTAACAATAGAAGGGCATGAGGTATCACAAAGGTTCCATTAATAAGATCCTAAGGTTGCTCATTTTATAGTATGTGTCCATCTTTATGATTCTGCTTGAAATACGTTGGTTTTTTTTTTTTAACTTAACTCACTTCTTGTAGTCGTGGAGAAGTGGGTTTTTAGAAGGAACTTGAATCTGGTGATTAGTAGGAATTAACTAATGAAGACTGGGAGGGCATTCTATGCATAGGGTTTAGAATTGAAAAAGGCAGGAGAACAGGGAGTGGGAAAAGGAAGCAAAGTAAATTAAGATTAGTGGAATTGGGGGCAACATAATAAGAGTTAAGATCAGAGATGTTGGCCAGAGCAGAGCTGTACAAAGAATTTTCTTATGGTATAAAATATGAGATTGCTGTATTCCTTTTATATATGAAATACAAATCTAATATAGAAGTAGATGAAAATACATTGTTTTGGGGTATTCTAGAAGAACTTCCTGAAAATAATTCAGCTGTTGAAAACACAAATAAGAAATCAGTTGCCTTTGATATTACCCTCTCAGATGATGAGACTACTCAGAAAAAGGCCCTTTTCAAAAGTGAAATGGCTGATGACTTGTCTTCACTATTAGATGAAGAGAAACATCAACAGATGACAATTTTGAATAGCCAAAACTTGACTGGTGACAGAGAAGATGAAACAGAATGGTCATTCATTGAAAAATCAACTTGTCATGGTAATGAAGGTGACCACTGTAATGAATCACATATGGCTGTACTGCAGAATGAAAGGGAAGAAATTACTCAACATGAATTTGAAAACAAACCAGTACCAAAGCTAAGGGAGCACAGAATCAAGAATATATCATCAGGTAAAAAGAAGGCACTTGAATATTGTTGTTGCTATTTGTATATTCATATTGTAATATTTTAAAATTAATCCAATGTTGGAAATGAAAATGTTAGAATTATTTTTAGACTTCAGTATAGGGTGTGGTTTCAATATCTTTAATATCAAAGAGGATCACAGTTTTTAACTAATTTTTAAGTGCTCCTTTCAATATTCTGCAACTGGCTGCCACAAGTAACTAGATAAACAAACAAATTATAGGCAAATTAGAGGATTGCTGAAATCACATGATAGACTATGTGAGAAAGAGGGAATAGAGAGTAGTATATGGTAATCTACGCTCTGGGACTTTACACTGTAGCAGGTTTCAGAGTAACAGCCGTGTTAGTCTGTATTCGGAAAAAGAAAAGGAGTACTTGTGGCACCTTAGAGACTAACCAATTTATTTGAGCATGAGCTTTCGTGAGCTACAGCACAATGGCCCAACTTGATTATCCTACACATTGTAAGGAGAGTGATCACTTTAGATAAGCTGTTACCAGCAGGAGAGTGGGGTGGGGGAGAGAAAACCTTCTGTAGTGGTAAACACCCATTTTTTCATGGTTTGTGTGTATAAAAAGATCTTCTGTACTTTCCACAGTATGCAACCGATGAAGTGAGCTGTAGCTCACGAAAGCTTATGCTCAGATAAATTGGTTAGTCTCTAAGGTGCCACAAGTACTCCTTTTCTTTTTATCAAAAAAGCAAGTACACAGACACCTGCTTCTCTTCTCCAACAGGCAACTAATTTTAAATTATCTCAAGTTTAGAAAATTTGATCTAATCTCTGGTCAGTGACTTCCTTTAATGAAGGATAAGCTTGGCCTCTTTTGATATTCTAATGGCTTATTGAGGACAAATTCACTTTATTTATTTGCAAGTCCTTTCTCCAACTAAGAGCTGAATTAGTGTTTAAGCAATGTGGATGGCCTTGATGAGCCCTGTGCACTGGGATGAATTTCACCCTTGTTTGCACTTTATGAAATGATATTTTAGAAAATGGCACTAAGCACACACATTGTACTGTTACTTCCTAATGCTCATACACCAATACTTCCATGGCTAGCTTTGGAAGTTCATTTTGGATGTGGGTTAGCATGCAGAGGAGCACACCAAGCAACACATTTCACTGTTCCCTCTCTTCTGAATAAATCTAGTCCTTGTGAAAGATGTCAGGCAGGATAGCTGTACTGCCACTGGCTGCCTGGGGACAGCTGTGGATTGGGGAAAATGAGTTTTTGCTTGAAAAGGGGCACTAATTTAGCACTGCTCTGAAGGCTCTGCAACTTGTCTGGGAAAATGCTGAATGTACTGGCTGTTCCTAGGTTCCTCCACCCCATTCCTGACAGCACACTTTATTTCTTTGTGACTGCTGAGCCCTTAACTTTTTACAAAAGGGACACAGATTTATGCATACAAGGGGGCAAATATCCCAGTAGTCACCTGGTCCCTTCCTCCACCCTTCTCACTGCATTTATTTTTTCCCCACAAATTTGATTTATTCTGCCCTGCGCAGAGGGAAGCACATGGATTTATGTAATGAGTTCAGTGGGCCTATTAAAAAAAATAGAGTAGGATCACAATGGAAAGTCTTCCCACTGCAGTGCTACATTAGACACATTCTGTTTTTCCTGCCTTTACAGTCTATTAGGTTTGTCTTCCTGGCCTCAGATAAACACCCAAGTGTAATACTCAAAGTGTATATCTAAATATATAGAATATAAAGAATTTGATCTTTACTATACAGAGAACAAAGTAAATTGAAAGATGAACTTCTGACCTGTGTCTTTACATTACATTGAGAGCTTCAAAACTTTGGTTAAAATTTCTGAAGATACAATTTTTATCTCTCTCTCTCATATACTTGGCTGCATTTGTTCTGGTTTGATTGTTTTCATCTTCATTGTAGTAAGAGCCTCAGGACACTTCATTTTTTTAAATAATATATCATGGTCATTGACCTGCTGTGACTGCTGCTTATTTACAGAAGAAAGGGATTCATCCGAAAATGTTAGTCGATCCTAATTGACAAAATAATATTCCAAACTGAATAAAGTATCTTTAGTGGATGATGATGAAATAATAATATTTATTGTCAGCTGAGAATGTCAGCATTTCTGCACTGGATGATCGTTATAAACCATCACCTCAACCAAGAAATGTGTTAAGAAAGACCAGCCATGTAGAAGACAAAGATGTTGCCAGGGCAGAAGATAAGACTGCTTCTTCTAGTTACAGATTACCTTCATTTTCTGCACCATCCTCCCTAACTAGGCTGAGTGACAAAATAACAACATCCGAGAAAAGGGCACTTGCTGAAAGCCCTAGTCCCGAGGTAAGAGCATTACTGTAGTATTTATTATATATGTGCACAGTTATCTATTTTTTTCCCTTCTATATATGTTTTGCCTATTCTACACTGGAATAATATCATCCAAACACTCTTTTTATTCATCTGTGATTGTGATACCATTTTTCATAACACAAAAAAAGAGGGATTGGAGGGTGAAAGAGGTACATTTAATCAGGTTTTCAAAGAGCATTGCTACTTGGATTGAAAAAGTGGAGCTTCTATAGGAAATAGTCTCCTATATCTGCAGCTTTGAGCGTTCTGTTGCCTTGCTGTATCTCTTTATTGATATACAAGGAAGTAGTTCTCAACTATAGGTCATTAACTCTGGGAGATACGTAGTATTGGCAGAATTTGATCTTTATTTTTTATAATTTCAATGGATAGTATCAGTGTTTATTTTAAAGCATTTTTCCCTATTTTTTATTGATTTAGTTTTTCATAGATGTGCAAAATTATGGGTTTTAAGCATTTTTTTGTATTTAGCTATTTAAATTTTCACTGTTGAAGGAAATTATGGATGGAGTCAGGATGGTGGTGGGTCAAACAGTAATTATTTGACAGTAGACATTAAGGTTCAGAAAGTTAAAGCTTTATAACCATTAAAACATAAATTGTAAACATCATATATCTAAATGTACAAAACAAATAACGAGCAGTATTTTTTTTACTTATCTGTACATTTTTATTATTATTGACAAATATTTTTAGTGAATTTGTGTGCACAGTGAAATTGACATTTATCAGTAAAAATCTAATCCATCCAAGCCTAGAAGTATGTTATAAAAAAGTTCTATTCCTTTGCATACACATTTTCTTCATCAATGTAACATGACAAATAAGTTGTATGTAAAGATTTCTTTATGCTGTGAACAGAGACCTAAAGATGACTGGATTTGTTTTGTTTTCTCAAAAGTGGTGGATGATGGTGTGTAAAGAAGGTCATGGGGGACTGGATCCTCCCTCCATAAGATAGAAAAATGCTCTAGGCAGTACACCTAGTTAGTATGTCAAAATGCAGAACCTTTCTACAAAGGAAGGGTAGTTGCCTATGTTGAGTCTCAAACTGACTAGCATATATGCTACTTATCAGCAGTATATAATAGTTCAGAAGAGCGGTGGCAGATTGAACCCTACTCCTTGTTGCTGTGTCCTGCCATGGGGAAAGTGCCTAACTGTGTGCCTGCAGGATTCTTATAGCAGAAGGTACAGCTGACAGCATCTTAGCTCTTCTTTGGCCATGTCTGCTGCCCCACATTTGGCACTAAGGGGGTGTGACTAGCAATGCGCCCCAAAGTCCTGAGCTGTATCTCCCCTGTGTGGATGCTGCAGGTGCGAACTAAAAGGTTCCTAGTTTGCATTAACATCACTTCTTTTCACACCCCTATAATCCAAACTGTGGGGCAGTATAGACAAGCCATCTGCTTCATTACTAAGGGCAGGATTTGACCTTAATCTGTGGTGAGTTTACACCGTTTTTAAAATCTGTTTATCTTTACATCTCCTTTAATTTAAACCGTAGCCATATTTTTCTTAAGGAACTCTAAATAAATATTGCATAGAAAACTATGGTTTAGAAGCAAGTTAACTGATTTTGATTTGGTGTGAATTGTTCATGTTGTTGCTTATGCTGTCACTTTCTGCTTTAAGGGTCCATGGCTAACAAGCTCTTCACCACCATTCCCTATTCATTTTCATTCAGCTGATGAAATGTCTGGAGACTCGGATTTGTTAATGTGTGGAGAAGGCTCTCCTTCAAAAGGTAGAAATCAATATACTTCATATAGAACCATTATACTTGAATATGTGCAACCAGTGAAATAATAGAATTGCTTTGTATAAGCAACTTTTAAGGGTCTGATACTAGTGTCCATGATGTCAATGTAGTCTGTTTCCATTGATAGAGGTGGATCCAACCACTAAGTTTACTTTAGAAATCTGAGACTAGCTACAATATGCATCAGCTGTGTATTATTGGTGTCAATTTGTTGCAGAGGAGTAATCAATAAGGTTACATCTATGCTATACACCACTTTTGGTGGCCTATAATATGCATACCCATGTAGCCCCCCTAATATAAATAGTAGTGTAGCCAGTGGGGCATGACGTAGGTGAGTAAATACATACCTAAAGGATGTGGGTAGGTATGTGAAAACAACCTACACTTTTTCTACTTGCCCAAGCCAAGCCTTCCTATCTACACTGCTATTTTTAGCAGCGTAGTGTCCTGCTGCCTTCCGACTTTGGAGCCTTTCCCCTCCAAGGAAAGCATCCCCCAGTGGGGGGAAGGTTCTGGCAGCGGGGAGGCATCAGGGTTTACCAGCTGACTCCCTCTTGCCAGAGCCTTTCACTGACGTGTAGCTACATACCTCAGTGTGGACACAGCCTACTTTTCCCCAGGGTGTGTAGCTACATGTACGCTTCACGCTGCTGAAAGTGCTGGTGTGTAGTATTGACCCAACCTAAGGTAGCTTCTGGAAGTTTACTATAGTTACATTAACAAATTGAAATCATAACTGATGTTGTTTTCAGGTTCTTTGTTAGAAACAGTTCTGAATAGCGTCACAAAGCATGATACATAAGAACCAGATAAACATTCTTTTTAGGGAGACAGGCTAAAGTTTGAGAAATGCAGAAACATCCTTTGCTCATATTCTGTGTACTTAACACTGTCTAAACATCTTTGAGACTTGCTTAAACCACTGCTCCTGAATTTCCCTCTCCATTCCAACCTAGTCACTTTCTTCAATTAATAATCTCCATCTGCCTGCCTCTCCCTTATCTTCCTTCATCCCTTCTAGGCACAGATCAACTGAGTAGACAAACTGTTGGTCACCATTTTATGTATAATGGGAGGATGGTCTTGTGGAAATTACAATGCCTGCGTTCTGTTCCTGGCTGTGTGAACTTGCTCAAGTTACTTATCCTCTCTGTATTCTGTTTAACTATTGCTTAAATGGGGATGATAAATATTACTTTGTTTCTGCATTGTACAAGACACAAACATACTGAGAATCCATGCCCCAAAGAGTTTACGATATTTAAGACTGACACAGATAGATAAGAAGCACAGGCAGACTCATAGAAGAAATTAATAGTGTTTAAATGGGGCCCCGCTGTGCTATGTGCTATAGAATATGTATAAAAGGTAGTATTGTCCTTGCCCTGAATAGTTTACAATGTAGACAAGATAGACAAAGGGTGGGAAAAAGTGTGTAACATATAAACAGAGGGATGACTGGAAAATGTCATGTAATATCTATATTTAATTTGTACTCTTGGGTTGAAGAATACATTTGATGTGGGTTAATGCTTGTGGGCATTATGGATGAAGCAAGTCTTTTGGACAGCTTTGAACACGTAGAGGATAGTGATCCCTGTTGTACTTGATTGGAGAGGTTTTCCATGCATGGAAGGAAGAGATGAGGTAGTGAAGATGAGGACATCTATGGAGCAAAGGAAGAAGGACAAATACGATAGACAAACAATACCGAGATGTAGTCTGGGGTAGATTTGTTCAGGGCATTGAAAGAGAAAATGAGAAAATGTAAACTTGATACTGTAGTCTGTAGATGGGGGAACAAGTGGAATGGTTCTAAGAGGGAGTACTATAGTCTGATCTGGCAAGGAAGATATCACAATTATAATGGTTGTCTTATAGCATTTTTCAACTGGAGATCTCAAAGCACTATGGGAGGATAGTACTATAATCTCTATCTTCCAAACTGAGGCACAGAAATAAAGTGATTTGTCCAAAGTCACACAGTAAATCAGTGGCATAGCTAGCAATAGAACCCAGGTTTCCCAACTTGCAGTCCAGTGCCTTGTCCACTAACTCCATAGGACAATGGCAAGTGTCGCAGTTTAATTAATTTTTGTAAAGTCCTCTAATACCTGTAATTGGAAAGTGATATGCAAATAAAATATGCAAACTTTACTTATCCACAAGAGACAGAAACTTGTTTATATGGTAATGCAGAAATTGTGCACAATTAGAGTTCTCATTAGTATGCTGGACTTTCCAGTGACTTAGCTTTCACACCTTCAAATTAGAACGTGTCCAAATGTCACCCTATAGAAGCCTTATAGGATACAGAGTTCTCCAATTCTTTGTCTTTAGATTACAGTCTCCAAATTGTAGGCCCAGCCCACCTTCCATAGCTGCAGTGATCTCCTAGCTAATTCCCTGCCACTTCCTCCTTTCAGAATTCCACCAAAAATGTGCACAGGAATGCAACTAGAGAGTTACTATGGCTCCTCTTGATTTTTGTCTTTATGTTTTACAGGTATAGAATAGAAATCCTATATTTATCACAGTGTAAATTACATTAGGAATACCGGTTTTTAAAGCCTTTTTAAAATGAGTGATAATTACTAACTATTCCAGTTAGGCATACATTTTTGCTACTTAGCAAAATTTTCTTCTTTCAAAGGGGAAAATGTTTGAGAGTCAGAAATAGCATACAAAGTGTTTTCTGCCATTGTTTTGCAAAAACCTCCGTAATACTTTAGTGAATGCCAGAGTAGCTCTTGATGTGATCCAAATGTTTCTTGCTGTTACTTCATATGTTAGAAACTTGTCTGGATATGATCAGGTGACTAATAGTTTACAGTTTTGCTGAGCTGTTTTATCTCAAAACTGCTGCTACTTGCCTTAAAATAAAAAATACATTTATTGCAGCAGTAATATTAACTTGTAATATGATTTTATGTATACTTTTGTAAGTCATTAAAGTATACAGAAGATAATGTCTTGTATCAAGCTTAATAAGCTTTTTCATACATGAATATTCTAGGTACGGTATAGAAATAACTGAATTAATGAGCCACACTTTTTCTTAAAAATTACATCTCTTGATGTCTCATCTCCCGAATTGGTTTTTTGACTTGCTTTAGGGCGGGATCAAACAGAAGATGATGACAGCAGGGATTTGAAACTGGAGAATAATGGCAGAAAATCCCCATCTGTGATAGAACTAATGATGACTACAGTGTATGAGAAAACTAAGAAACTACAGAAATCAACTGATGACAAGCTTGAAGAAAATTTGCAAACATTGGAAGAGAAATTCATTGCTGATGGCATAAAGGAAATGTCACTGAATGATAAATCTGAAGACATGGCGGAAGTGAGCACTTCAGAGGACTCGGACAAGGTATCTTTTAAACATATAATTTGTATCATAATTTATAATAATGTCTTGGAAGCTTCAATGAAAAGTTATCATACGAAACTTGTTGGTTCCATCCTGTATACGTACAGATATTATTTTATAATAGAATCAACATTAGAAGCCACCCATTCCTGCCTGGTTTCTGGTATTGATTCTGTTATAAAATAGCATCAATTTTGAGAAGATGAGGGGAACATACATTCAATGAATATTTAAAAACAAATAAAACGTATCAAACTTTGTGCTTGCTGGCCTTATTTAAATCCATGTCTAGAATTTAAAATAAACTAAGTCAGATCTTTAGGAGGTATAAACTGGCTTAGATCAGTTTAGGTGAATATACCAGTGGAGGATCTAACTTACTATGTTTTAAGTGCTGTTCACACCAGTGATTTGTGTAATGCATATGGTAATTGTTAGCTATAGTACAAGGCAAAAAGAGAATATACTTACATTTAGATTGTAAGCTTTTTAGGGCTGGGACTGTCTTTTTGTTCTGTCTGAGCCCAGCATGCTGGTATCCAGGTCCATAACTAGGACTGTTCAGCGCTTTGGTAATACAAATAATGAATAATAACTGTATACTATCTATTTTCTCATTCTATATTGAGACTTTTAAAACGTAATCCTGACTAAATAGTGATGTTTCTGGGTAAAGACTTACAATGGAGATTATGGTATACTTTATTTTGGTCTTTATTTATAAGATCATGCTGGACTTCATCTAGGCTATGTTTTGTTGATTATAATAAGCACAAAGAATGGCAGAAAATACTTGTTCACCGTCCTTGCATTCATATTTTGCATTCCTGTATTTTATAAAGCCTCTGATACAGCATTTGCGGCTATATGCTGCAGAACAGGTTTTGTTGTTTGACAGTAAGTGTAATATTTTTATTTTTCCTTTTCCATTTGTTAGAAAGAATTTGAATATAAGGAAACACTTTCAGAAAAAGTGAGACCTTCTTCATCAAGCAGGTAAGTAAACTATACAGATATGTCAGTGTTTACAATCTGGTCCCACCTGATGTGATTTCTGCAGAAAGGTAAGATCCACATGATCGACACACACTGGCCACTCATTCATGCCCATCATCACCCTGTCGCCAACATTTGGCCTTCTGAAAGGGTGCTGGAGGAGGAGAGTGCAGCTTTTTTGCAGGGTGACAACCCTTCACATCTCCACTGGCAGATCAGACCCACCAAGGGCCTTTATCAAAATCTTCATCTGTTTGTGCCATGGGACCCACAAATGACTCTAGCCCACAGTTTTACTCCTGGGGGGAATTCTGCGCCACTGCACATGTGTAGAATTTATGTTCCCCACAGATTTCTTTGCTTCTGTGCAGAAAAATGACTTTCTGATAGGGAAGCCACAAGAGTGGTCACATGACCCTCCCCAGCAGTATGTTTTGGGTGCCCAGGGCAGCCGGCAGAGAGGTAAATCACTGTGGGGCAGGGGGCAGGACTGGGGAAGACCTGGCTGGTGGCTCCTACCCTGCGTTGGGCTCAGCTGCTAGCCCCAGCTAGGCTGGGGAGGACAGGACTTCCTCTTCCCCTACACAGCATCCGGAGCCCCCAGATTTCTCCACCAGCTGCAGGAATCTCTGCAAACTCTTCAACCCCTCTGCTTCCTGCACCCATCACTTCTCAGCTGCAGGGAGAGGGATCCCTGTACAGGGAGCTACTCTTCCATCCACCCAACCCCCATACATCCAGACCCCCTTATACCCAGTTCCTCTCATCGAGCCTTCTGCACCCCTGCACTCAGAACACCCCTGATGAGCCCCACTCCCCCTGCACCTGAACCACCCCGATGAGCCACCTGTATCCCCATCCCACCGAGCCCCGACCAGCTGCACCTGGATCCCCACTGAGCCCCACTTCCCCAGCATGTAAACTCCCCACTGAGCCATCCAGACCCCTCCCCTCCCCCCGCTGAGCCCCAACCACTTCACCTGCACACCTGTGCAGACTCCCATTACCATTGCACCCAGAACACCCCGAACAAGCCCCTGTGCATCCAGATTCCCCCCCACCCCCGATCCCCCACTGAGCCACCCACACCCAGATTGCCCCACACACAACCCTCTCAACCCACACCTGGATCCCCCCACACTAAACCCCTCCACACTTGGATCCTGTCTTGCTGAGCCTGCCTGCCCGCACCTGGTGCACCTGGCATGGAGGAACAGAGCCCTGGGGTGTTTCTGGGGCAGGTCTGGCCCTTGTGCTCTGTCAGGGTTGGGTGCAGCCTCTCCACTGAGTCCACGTTCCAGTGGGGAGCTGCACAGTGATCTCCCACCCCTGTGCAGCCAGTGGCCTGTGCTCCCCAAAGCCACGCTGGAGCCTCCACATTTATTTGATAAATAAAATTTGCAGAATTTTAAAATATTGTGTGCAGAATTTGTAATTTTTGGTGCAGAATGCCCTCAGGAATAACAGTTTGTACCTGTCTCAACATGTTCTTGTTAGGTTAAAGCATATAGGGCTTTTAATACTTTTGAACTGAAATTATTGTGTTTGTGGAGTTCACATTCTCTATTGGGTCGACTAGCAGAATTTTTGTAGGCCCTGCAGGTTCTTTTAGTAGTGATAAAATCCATGTAAAAACAGAAATGGACAATTCAGGCTGTCTCCTCCTCTTTCTCTTTCCCTCTATCCCCCTTCCCTTCCCCCCCCCCCCAAAAAAGATATAAGCTTGTGAAAACGGGATTATAAGCAATATCTGGATGTAACTGCAATGAGAAGGCACTCTACCTGGCATCCACTATAAGAAACTCAAAGCTTGTTTTGATATGTTTATGAATTGATGCTTCACAGGTCTCTGTCTTCTACATACTTGAAGAAAGCTGGGAAAACCATCCCTCCATCTACAACTACATCTTCTCAATACTTGGGAACATTAAAGGTCTTAGACAATAAACACTTGCAAAAATATAGTGCTGAGCTTGACAAAGCAGATAGTTTACGAGCAGCTGTTTATCAGGTAAATTTTGGCATATCCAAAGCCTGCATGAAAAGATCCTGCCAATAAGAATAAAAGCCTGTTAATTATACTCAATATCTGTATGCACCTTTCTTAAATTGAGACTTCTTTTTATTTTTAAAAAATTATGCTTCACTACAAAGCATATGAGCCAAGAAGGGTAGATTCAGATGAGAAAGAAACATACTTATCTATATTTTACTATTGTGGCAAAATGTTTTCAAACACAATAGATTATCTCCGTTATTGTATTTGTTGTTTTTTATTTTTAATGTGTATCCTATAGTTTCTTTTCTCTGTATTTTCTGTTCCAAAGCTACCTTTCATGGGAAAGGTAAAAAGAACTTGATGTCAGATCTTAAATTTTTCCCTAAAGCAGCATAATCTATCTGAATTCTGCCCTCTGCAGTAAAAATTAGCATAAATCTCAACTGTGGTCATATCTGTTTATTGATCATAAATTGTTTCCGCATAAGGAAAATCATATTCACTTAACAGTTTAATGGTTCTAAATATCATGCTGTCTCAAGTATGTGTGCATTGACTCATAGCCACTTTCTAAAGTCAAATAGTCTTCATTAAGATATTTTAGCTTCTCAGTACAACATACTAAACACATGAACAAATGTACAAAATTTGACCCTGATCCTGAAAACACTCACACACTTATAAAACTTTGTGAGTGTGTATTGCCTTTGAAGTCAATGGGTTGAGGACTTTTCACTGTAGATATTTCTGAATTAAACATACAATAGGTCAGAGGTTTTTTACTAAATTTTGTGGTCCTATAGATCCTAAATGGATAAAATGTATTCTGTACTTTTAAAACAAAAATTATCCAGGGGAAACTTAAAATAGTGGTTGTAAATATTTTGTATTAAAAGGTTTAATAGCTGCAGCTCATTCTTGTACATGTGTACATGGGGATGCTTCCTTCGCTCCCCAACAGCTATTTTTCTGAGGCCCTATTGAAGATTTTGAGAAGTAGTATTATGTCATTTGTATCGCTCTGCTCTCCCTTCCCTCAACCCCCCAGGATTGTAACACTGGAGGTAAATCCACCATGATGCTCCTTCTTCTTTCCTGCCCTTCCATGCTCACATTCTCTTTTTTATTTCCATACTGAAATCTTTTTGTTAAAATAAAGTTATTAATTTCTTAGGTTTTAGTCTTAAAAGTTGAAACTTTTGATCAGAATGTTTTTTGTGCTGCAGATCCTCAGAATGTGGTTTAAATGACACCTCACTCATCCAGATGGGCTTATTGCTATAGAAGTAGTTTGCATACATAAAATGATAATGGTGGTGGTGGTGGTGGTGGTTATATATGAAAACAGAAATACTGTCAGTATTGCCTGTGGTCATTACATCAGATGTTGCTTTATCAATAATACTAAGTTACTTTGGTACAAGATCTAGTTATTGCTTAAAACTCTTCAGCTACAGCTTTTTCCTTAATCTTTTAGGATTGGTTGGAAAAGAAAAGAGTCTTTCTACTAGAACTGCAAAGAATTAAAAGGAACAAAGCAGAACATTTAAAGAACGCAAATGAAAAGGTTTGTTTAAAATATTTGATTAAATGGGAGCTAGCCAACTGCCACTCTATAGAGTAATGTCATTACAATATTTGTTGTGGTGTATTTAAAAAAGGAAAGAAACACAGAAATGAAATAGTGAAAACTGTTGTTATCCCCTTCATTGGGGCTACTTTGCAACCACTCTGCCATCAACAAGCATCTCTAAATCCATCATAGAGAGCCACAAGAAGATTACTCCAGTTTATGTGGAATGGAGCTGATGTAATAGCTGTTATATGTCCTAATCCTTGTGGCTGCCACAGGGAATATGGCTAGGGAAAAGAGGAGTGTAGCTGGTGCTTCCCTGCACCCTTAGAATCCTTGGATGCCATATAAATTAAAGCTACCTTTGCAGCTCCCTTCTTGTTTCACTTTGTGCATCTTGATTACAGCCAGCAGTCTGGGTCCATCTTTGTATTTTTATTATGATGATTATGGGATAGTCTGTATTTCAGCAATGAAATTTAAAGAAGTCATGTATCTGAAGATTTTCATGCTCTTGTCTTGGCTCTTCTATATTCAGCGGTATATAATCATAGAATCATAGAATATCAGGGTTGGAAGGGACCTCGGGAGGTCATCTAGTCCAACCCCCTGCTCAAAGGAGGACCAATCCCCAACTAAATCATCCAGCCAGGGCTTTGTCAAGCCTGACCTTGAAAACCTCTAAGGAAGGAGATTCCACCACCTCCCTAGGTAACCCATTCCAGTGTTTCACCACCCTCCTTGTGAAAAAGTTTTTCCTAACATCCAACCTAACCCCCCCTGCAACTTGAGACTATTACTCCTTGTTCTGTCATCTGGTACCACTGAGAACAGTCTAGATCCATCCTCTTTGGAACCTCCCTTCAGGTAGTTGAAAGCAACTATCAAATCCCCCCTCATTCTTTTCTTCTGCAATTCCAGTTCCTCAGTCTCTCCTCATAAGTAATCTACATTTAAAGCAACATGTACGCAATTATATTATATTCATCTTTCTTCATAAATTCTCTTAATTTTTCCTATTTAAGAACTAATGTTTTTTATACACAGTCTTCAGAAGTGAGTCATAGTAGTTTCTATATCTCCCAATCTTGTAGAAAACAGCCTCATACTGTAGGTCAAAAAAGTTGGTCATGCTCAAGCAGTAGTTCAAATCACAGCTGAACCATTGATTTTAGAATGTTTTCTACAAGTCAATTTTCTTTCATTTTTTTCTTTGGCTAATGCTACATTTGAGAGTTTAGAAAATGCAGTGTTTTCTGAAGTATAAACTTTTCTTATGTAGAAAGAAGCTACTAAGAAAGAAGAAGCAATTGCATCTTTTGAAGCCTGGAAGGCAATGAAAGAAAGAGAAGCAAAAAAGAAACTAGCTGAAAAAAAGAAGCTTGAGGAGTTGAAGAAACGGAGAGCAGCAGAACAGAATGAAGAGAAAAAAGAAGCAGCTCAAAAGGCAGTGAGAAATCTATACCTGACAGACACTTAACTCAAGAGAGTCCTTAGTAAAAATGTAGTTGTTAACAACAAAAGAGGGACCCAAACCATACCCCTAGAGCTGGATACCCCGATCTTTGGGAGAATTCATGTCTAGATTGTTATCTTTGTAGCAGGGGCTAATCTCTCAACCTATGCACATACACACATTTTTTCTATTGACATTTAGGGTTTTTTTAATGTGAAATACTTTGTTCCATATACGTAAAGTAGTTAATCAACAGAATAACGTGTTGGCAGCAGAGAGGCTTTTCTAATGAGCTGGGAGTAGTAAATTCTTGCTCCTTGTAGCAGTATCCTTTGCTAAGCTACAACCCTGTGAATGCGCAATCCAAAGGGGGATGGGTAGGAAAGAAAAAATATCTATAATGTAATGGAAGGTTTGGAACAAAGATGTTATGCAACTTTGCTAATGGACTTGAGGTCTTCTTTAGGCATTTGAAAAATGGAAAGAAAAGAAAGCAGAGTATTTAAGAGAGCAAAGTAGAAAGGAAAAACAAGCTGAAAGAATCAAGAAGAAGAAAGAAGAGGAAGTTATTGCAGAAAAGAAACGAGACAGCATGTCTGCCGTTGATAAATGGTACTGCTACAGAGGATTTAGTTACATAACTGTGTACGGGCCAGCACCTTTGTCTTATCATTTTGCAGGGAATATTTGGCCTGAGGGCCTGAACCTGCAGGGGGCTGAGGATCCTCAATTCTCACGGAAATCAGTGGGAGGGAAGGGTGCTTAGCACCTCACAGGGTCAGGCCTGTTGTTCCCAAATGTGAGTGTGGTAGCTTTATTTTCGTTCCCATTTGTCCACCTTATAAAACTTGCCATACAGCTTCTAGTCAATCTGCTGAATTGAAAGTCTCTTCTCAAGAAAGGCCAATGATTTGAAAATGCTGCAAATCAAAAGTGAGGTACAGTGGGTAGCATGGAACCTTGTACTACCAATCCCATGCTTAATTAGTAACCCAGGATTAAAAAAGCAAGCACTACAACTACATGTTATCAAATTTGTCAGTAGACATAAATGTCAGTTCCTGGCAGTGTCCATGATGATTGGTTAACCAATCACATTTGCAGCATTTTTTTAATTCAGTGAATAGTATGTTATATTTCTCTCCATATTTAGGAATGAAAAAAAGGAAGAATTTGTAAAACAAAAGAAGACAGAAAAAATCCAAGAGAAAAGACGGCAAGAAATAGAACAATTTGAGAGGGGAGAAAAAGATAAAAGGGCTATGGAGGAATATGAAAGATGGCTGGTAAACATATTTGTTCACACTTTACTACATTTATCCTTGTGTTTTTTAACAAATAATGCGTGTGAATAACTTTGAATTATAATTTTCAATGCTGTTCATCATGTTATGAAAATGGCCAGGTGATGGCAGTAGTATATACCTTTTCATACAGTTCCTCTGAGGGTTATTTTAGCAAATCACTTAATAGTGCAGTGTATACAGCATCTGGCATACATGCGATATAGTCTCCCTATCTGTATGCCATTGAGTTCTTTGCATTTTACAGTCAGTGAAAGTACAGTCTTCTCTTCTCCCATTCAATGTCAGGAAGAGCCACCTCTGAAGGGCCAACTCAGCACAGCACAGAACCAGCAAAGGCTAGAAGCAGCACCAGCTGCAAAAGTGAGTGCATTTAGATTCAAGGAAACAGTTTTAAATATGGCGAGTTGTATAAATCGATATAAATAAGAACGATTACATTGAGGATTGAGATTACCTCCATTTGATAGGAAGGGGTGACCTCTGGTGTGCTATTGTGGGAAGAAGTCATTAGGAGCCTTTCCAGTCCCACAAAAACCAATAAGTCAAGATTTCTTTACCACCGCTCAGGGGAACCCTAGGAGACAGACAGCTAATGCACAGGAACATATACTGTGCTCTTAAAGGGTATGATTTTAGGAGAATGTCTAGCTTCTTCTGCCCCATCCCTACCAGCACTTGTCGTGATGCTGTTGGCAGCACGCTGAGGCATCAATCCTGTAAACAGATAGTCCCACTAAAGCGAAGCACCTACTTACGTGCTTAAAGCTGGGTATGTGCAAAAGTGTTTGCAGGATTAGGGCCTAACTGGCAGGCTTGTTGCTGCTCTTCTGAACAGGAGCAGATTGTACCCCACATCACATCTCCTCTGTCCATTTTCTAAAATCTAGGCCTTGGCTGTGACTCAAGTCTCTGTATTTTGGAGGTCACATCAGCCAATGTTTCTGTTCATCCTTGCTCTGCTGGCCAGAGCAGTATTTAGGCTTATATAAAAACAATGAGAATGTAAAACTCACTTTTTATAAATTTAGGGAAAGAACACTTGTGTGACTCAAGTTGTCAATTTATTATCTAGGTAACTAGGAGGATTTTTGTATGTACCCAGATTATTGGTGTCAGTAGTTCTAAGAAGATAAATAAGTGTTCTATTAAAAGACAAGTAACTTAATGAAAATCTGTTAATTCTTCCCCTAGCAATCAGTAGGGAAAACTAGTTTTGAGAATTAATTAAATCTTTCAGCTCATGGAGCAAATGGCAGCATTTATGGATAGCAAAAATAGGAATTTAAAAATCCTCCCTAAATACTTCTAAAACATAAAAATACAATAGAACAGGGAATTCTGTTGTTACTGAAGTGTCATACTGTGGCATATAGAGTTCACTGATTATCTCAAGGAATGTTTATCTCAAGGGAAGGGCATGGACAGGACTTTTTCCATCTTGAAATTTAAAACCCTAGAAATGGAGACAGAGTTTTTGTTGTTAAGACTTCCAAAACTCTTAACATGAAAAAGATAACTTTGTTTCCCCTACAGTTAGGGGAAATTCCGCTTTTGTGATATTATTTACCTCTTAGCTACTCAATTTAATAGCAATATTGGTTCAATTTCCATTTTGTGATACCATGGAGTCATATAAATACCTAAAATAGATGAACAGATGCATGTAGGCACATTATAATGTTTGCCAGCATATATACTGACACCACACCTGGTTCTAGCTGGTGAGTAGTGAGATTTCAAGTAAGCACTCTTTCAAAACTACAGATCTTGGAGATTTGTATAGTATAGCAAGTTTATGTACCCTCTAAGAAGCTTGGCCCTTATTCTGAGGCTTAGCACTGCTCAACACCCAGTTTTTAACAGTATTCATCTCATGATGCACCTTGTACATTTGTACACGCTAGGAGTTGTGGTTAGTTGAATTAGATGGGTTTTACAGATTTGTTATTTTTCTATGTTGGAAATAACTCGGATGATTTTACAGATATATGTTGTTAAGGCTTATTTTGAAAAAATTTATATACTGGAAATCTAGCTCAGTAGTGGTGTAGTAGTGCTCAGCAGTGTTGAAACATGGGCTTTGCTACTGTTCCTTTTATCTTTCTCCCTAATGCTTCATTAACTGCCTAAAACAAAATCGTTATGTTGCAGCCACACTGCCATGGGGTATGGTCTTATCAGATGTTGTAAATGAAGAAAAGTTGCACTGACTCATTAGGCCTGTTGAAGCAAGTGTGCAAAAACAGCAGTGTGAACGTTGAGCCTCAGGTTCTCAAGTCCAGTCAGCCCTCCGTGCCTGAGCTTGGGTGACTAGGGCAAGTCTCCTCTGGACACACAGTATCCCTGCTGCTATTTTTAGCATGCTAACTTGAGCCCTGCTAGCGCGCACGTCTGTCTGCCAGGCTGGGAGGCTCACTCGCAGCTGCAGTGTAAACATACCCCAACACAGGGTCTCTGAAACAAACATTATTTAATGTATGACAGACTGCTGCTGCTATTTTGTTTCTTACTGTATCTCTCTTTCATAATTCTGATTATGCTTCCCTCAACACCTGTGTGCACACAACCTTCTTCTTTATTATTTGGGGAGGAGGAAGGTTTTTGGTAAATTTATTTCTCATGGGGTTGTGAGTAGTGGTGAGGACTATTTGTACAAAAGGCTGTGTTGAAGGGGTGGGAGAGATAATAGCAGAAGCGCTCTGTTGGCAGGACTTGCTTATCAAATGTTAAAAACCAGCAAAACCAAAACAAGAACACTCAAACGATTTAAAAAAAAACAAAAACCCTTCATTAATGCAAATTAAGGTTAGGAACTGAAATCTCAAGAAATCAAGAAATTCTTAATTAAGCTGCCCAGACCAGCTTTAATGCTCATCTTGGAATATATGCTGTGAAATTAGGTTTTTCCTTAAACAAGCATGCTATGCAGCATGTAGTCAGTAATACAGTGTTACATATAGCAAGGTGCAATTCCTTAGTAAGATATTATTTGTTAAGTATGGGCTACCAGTGATACGATAAATGCTATTTTTTTAATCATTACATATCAAATACCAGTCCTAAAATTTATTTCTGTACTCAATACAGATTCCAGAGTGACTGTAATTAAGTTAATTCTGAAATACATCCGCAGTATGTGTGAATTTATTCCAAACAGTGTGCACTAATCATATATTTATTCCTTTTTAGAGTATGTATCCGTCCTAAACTCATATGCAGCTCAGTATTTCAACAATATAAAATTTTGCCTTGACAGTACAAACTCTTTCCTCCGCAAACCACTACAGTGTTCCCTTAGAAAATCCTAAAGAAGTAACTTGCAGCTTGACTGAAGGTCAAAAAGCTCAGGCTTTGTCAATCAAATGAAGGTTTGTGTTGGAGTGTGGAGAAGAGAGCAATGGCAGCTTGTAGAGGCAAAAGTTAAGTCAACTAGTCTGGAACCTCAAAGCTTATATTATCATTTGGGCCCAAGATATTCCTCGCATCTCTCCATTGATTTCGGTGGAACAGTTAGATGTGAATTTGACCAAACCAGACTGCCTATCCCTAATTCAAGAAGCATTTTAGAAGGAGTCAGAGTTTGGGAATTCACTGACTGCCCACTTTGAAATTTCTGTTGAAAACCAAGGTTCTCTACAGAATGAATTATAAATATTTTACAAAGGAACAAACTAAAAATTTCACGTAATGTGAAAATATTTTTGCAAACTTTCTGCTCAATATCATTGTTCTAATTTCCCAATGGTATGTCTAAAACTATAAAAAAGTCATTAGAACCTTATGACACTGTTAGCATGACATTAAAACGACAGAGATTTGTTATAGCTAAACTGTTAAAAACCTGTTTTATTACAGCATAGTGCCGGAGTAATTTAGAAAGCACTGAAAGGTATAGACATCAAATGCTATCCTTTTTTATTGAAAACAATATTTAATATTGGAGTTCAAGAGTCCTATATTTGAGGCATTAGGATGTGAATAGGCAATTGAAGATAAATACAGAAATTAGCTTGCTATGCCTTGTATGTCATGCTCCGTGTTTGGGTAGTACACAGCATAGCTCAGCTCCAAGCATCCACCCGAACCTTGGAGAAATATAAGTCTGTAGCATGGATGTTGCACTGCTCATGCTGTGTAGCTGTATTTCTATAAGGGATGCTAGGATGAGCTTCCAAGCACAACTCACCATTGCACATTAACATTACCTCTATATCTTCTCTATAATACGATGCCAGGCTTGTCACTCAGACTTTGTGTCACTATGAAGTGTAGATGGTCTGAGTCAGGGTGAAGAGAGCACTTTTTGTTTAAAATATCTCGAGGTTCAATCATCGCTGGGATTTGTCGTCAGTTTCGATCAAGTTCTCAGCCATTTTCATCTTTTTTTACATTTTATGAATTGCACCAATGAAACATCATGGACTTTCAACTAATATCTTTTGTAAAATAGTAATTATTTAATTTTCCTTTGACACAGTACTTCTCTGACACAACCTCCTCTAATTTCAGGAAACGAAAGAGAGGAGAGACCAGACTGAGAAAAAACAAAAGAAGCTCCAGGTTATCCTTGAGGATGAAACCCCTCCTCCATGGAGCCCGCCTGGCAAAGCTGTTTCGTCAAGGAACTACTGAGATGTCCATTACCCTTTGTGAGGAAAGTTCATGTCCAAAGTTCTGACACTGGCTAATCATCAATATTTCACAACAACTGACTTTAAAGTGAATTGATACTGGCTCTTGCATCCTTTCTTTTTTAGGGTGATTATTTTTAGACTCCTCAGTTGGAACAACTGGGTGTATGTGCTAAATAGCTCAATTGTTCTTTTCCATTACATTTCACCAAAAGATTAACTTGTGTGATTTTTTTTTTGCAATTAATTTCTTGGTTAAACTTTGTGTCATTTGGCCCCTTTTGGTGAAAATTCATGTTCGGGACACGCAGGGCCGGACTCTAACACACCCTTCCTCATACGAGTAGCGCTTTAGCCCACAAATGATGCCATTGAAGTCAGTGGGCCTGCCTGTGGATTCAGCCTGAGTAAGGATGTCAGAATCTGGCCCAAAATGAGTGGTCAAGCAAGTGCTAGATATGTTCCCATACAAAGTGCAGGGTGAAGAAGTAGAAAATATTTGAAACCATCATTCAAGCATAGCTTCAGAGCTACATTATTTATAAACCGGTAAACAATCCCTGAAGATTGGCAGGGGGAATAAATACATTAAGCAAAAGGAAGTAAAAAAGAAAAAAAACAGTCCTGAGGTTTTTACTGTATGATGAGACTTGCAATGTGCAGTTGTGCAGAATGTAAGGATAACTTAGGTTTCGCAACAGCACAAATATCTGACGCTTTTTCAGTTCGAGTTTAAAGGACTAATAATGCTAGCTCCAGAAAAGGATCATTCAGAATTGTCCGGAATGTATTCAACCGAAGTAAACTTTGTCCGTGTTGAATCAATGGTGCTAGGTTTATTCTGTGAAGAGGGCCAAAGTATATTTTTATGATCCATGGGCCTAGCCTATAATAATAGGGCTATGTGCAGCGGGGAAAGTAACTTAAAGGACTTACCGGTACTCCGAAGTCCTGAGCGTGTGGCCTCGACCAGAAGAGGTGGGGCCTTTAAATACCGCTGGGGTAGCGGCGGCAGGGCTCTGGTGGTGCTTTAAAGAGCCCGGGGCTCCGGCCACTGTGGGGAGCCCCAGGTCCTTTAAAGCACCAGCCTGGGGAAGCTGGTCCGGTCCGGCACGGCATACTGGTTCTTGCTGGTACGCCGTACCGGACTGGCTTACTTTCACCTCTGGTTATATGCTACCTTGAGCCGCAGTAGAGCTCCTATTGATGTGCAAAGATTAATGCTAAGATATGAGCCTTTTGTACTAATGAAACTTTTAAAGGCCAAATTCCATTCTCAGATACACTCAAGTATGTGCACAGTAATTTCATTAACTGTCAGTATAACTGGAATTATTCCAGAGAATATGAGAACAGAATTTTTGACCTCATAGCTGTTTTAGACTGTCAGCAGACTCAGAATGACAACTTAGTAATGGTAATACCCCCTCCTGCACCCCAGCCCTGAGCCCTCTCCCAGAACCAGCCCTCAATACCCCCTCCTGCACCCCAAGAAATATTACCAATAACGGTAATATTACCCTATCAACCAACAAAGAACTCAGAATGTTCAACCGTCTGTGTCGGGTATTTGTTCAACCATCTGTGTCGGGTTGATATGGCTCTCACATTGAAGGTATTTTGCCAAAGTGGCCTCCACTTCAAAAATAGTGAAGAGCAGTGGCCTAAATAATATGGTCATGTTGTGATTTGGACTATGTGGAGCACACAGGAGTAAGTGGACAATATTACATCCACTACTCCCCGTACTGCATCAAGTGGCTGGGGAGGTAAGGGAACACTCTGGCTAGCACAGCTGAGCTGTTGTTGGGGCATTATCATCCTACGCTGGTATAGAGTAGCAGGAAATGACTGCCTCTCATCCCAGAGTAAGGAGGCAACTGTACTTTTGGAGGGATGTCCCTGAGGTACAGTGCCTCTTTGTCTACTTCTTGATGGTGCATCTTATGCTCTCGCCACTTGCTCAAGACTGTACCTAAAAGTATAATCTAGTCTGTATGAGCAGAATTTCAACGAGAAAAGAGTTCTAATGCCTTTTGCTTGATTGGTCTTGACTAATTTGTAAACCCTTCAAAATTAAGGAGCTGATATCTGTTAAAATTACTGTCTTCTATGTAAAATGTTTTAAAGAGATGATCAAAGATTTTAAAGAGCTTTAAATAGAAGTGTTCTTTCATGTTAGTCTTGGAGAGATTATGGTGCAGCAGTAATAGTGAAGGTTGCACTGCAGAGTTCAATTTAAAACGGGTTGACATTAAACCTTTATTTTGTAAAAATCTTATTGAAATAGCAAAAACCAGAACATAAAATATAAGCTTTGAGCACTGTTTTAATTTTTCATGGTGGTTTGATGGAAGTGAATTGATAAGGAAAGATTTAAGAGTTTAAAATTCTTCCCTCTTAGTGATTTTCCCCTCCCTGCTGAATTCTCTTTTTTTTTGTACCCCTTTTTACAAGAAATCTGAAATACTCTGGGCCATGCCCTTTGGCTACATTGTTGCTCCTCATGGGCTGACTCCAGAATACATACATAATACATAGGCTGTATTTGAGAGAGAGAGAGACACACACACACATACTGTTGATAATGCATTTTAGCACTCCATAAAATTTTTTTCTTCCATCCTCCACAGATACCAAAAAGTAATGCATACCCCAGCTTCATTAGACTTTCACTCTAATAAAAAATCTTAACAGTGACCTCAGCAGTGTTAAGGCAGAATAACTTTATAAATGTGTGGAATATGTAACGATCAGATGTGCTGATCTGTTTCTGTAAAAGCATAGGAGGACACTGTTAAGAGTTTATATTAGAAGGGGTGTATGTCTTGCTTTTGGGTATCTGCTGGAGATCGAAGTAAAAGCCTCATGGAATATTGGAGTGCATTGTCAATAGCTTTGGAGGCAATATGAAGGTGGAAAGGACTATCTTGTTAACTTTTTATTTCCTTGCTTATGTTTTGGTTGGATGGAGTGTGTCGTGTTACATCCTTAATTGTCACTAAATATAGTTTTGTTTGCTAATTTTTATTTTGGAGGACAGTTTTAAAATACAGACACTATGGAAAGGAAGGATAATTATCTCTCGTATTAGATTATACACTGTGTCTATTTTTCCCTTCCTCTACATATTTTGTGTGTGTTATAATTTTCTAAATGTATTAAAAGATTATGTTTTGCAGTCCATAGGTTCAAAATCCATGTGTGGTTTCCTCCCCTCTGGGAATTTGGCCAATAAATCTCTGGCTACCGTTAGTTGTGATTACATATGGAAATATGGGGAGATGTTTAACAGTAATACCCATTTTTTATTTTATTTTTTAACTGAATAATTAGGGAAGTAAAACACGGAGAAGTTTATATGCTGTCCGGGAGAATATACTGAGGTGAATTTTATGTATGTATAATGACCTATTGATTCCCTCAATAACAAGATTTGCTGATCTTGGGAATAAACTTCACAGTGAGCAACATTTAGGAAAATGGAAAATATACAGGGAGCAGGGTTGATATATGAGCACATCAAGATCAGAAGAATTTGAAGTAAATAATGCAGACTAGCTACATGACATTTGGGATGCTGTTTTACCTAAATAGTTTTGTAGAGTTCAGAAGCATGCTGGGCATTTAACAAAGTAAGAAAGACAGCTCCCTGCCCCATATATCTTTTTTTTTTTTTTTTTTTTATAGACATGACCGTACAATTGCTTTGGATACTGTCAGACCTCTATTGAGCGTGCTCACAATCTAACATTGTCTCATTCCTGTTTATTGAGCATGCTCACTACTAAACATTACCTCATTCTTAGCTACTGGACAAAGCTGCTCCAAACCATCCCAGGCTGGAGCTGTTTGACCTCTCTCTACCCTTATACTGCAGGTGCTCATTCCCAAGCATTTTCTCATTCTGAACATACTAACTTGTGTTGCTTTTCCTCAGAGCCATGATTATCTCATCTGACCTTACTTCCCATGCTCCAGATCACCATTACTTTGTGGCCATACCTTAGTAACCACAAAAACAATGAGTGGGTCTGGTGGCACCTTAAAGACTAACAGATTTATTTGGGCATAAGCTTTTGTGGGTAAAAGCCCACTTCTTCAGATGCAACATTAAGTAACCTACATTCTACTGGGCATGCTCAGCCCAGAAATACTTTGTGGCCATACCTCATTCTACTTGCAGCACCAGTCTTGTGACCTAAAGCATCCAGTGGTATGTGATCTGCAGCTTCTCAGTGGTGAAGTGACTCCTGCTTATTCAAGAAGGAAGCTAGGGATACAAAATGGAGATTAGGAATACAAAGTGGAATCTGGGGAATTTCTCCGGTATCAGCTACAAAGAGCATACTTCTACCATTGATGAAAGAAGTATTATAGACATGCAAAGGCATCTATAGTGTGTCAAATTCAGTGTTTCAAATATTATGGTGAACAGTTGTGAGACTTTTGTATAATTTATCTTCTAAGTGCTAAGTCAAATTACAGGTTGACACGTACTTGGCAAGAAAAATCTGATAAAAGCATAAATAAATGTACTTTAACTTGTATAAAATCTTCTCATTTTACCTTAATTAGGCAAATATTGTAAATATATTGTTGTACATAGGGGAAAATATTTTGATATTAAATTTTGTTTTGATATAGTGAAATCAGTGGTTTCATTTTAAATTAATTTATGAAATCTTACTAGAAACTTTCTATGTATTTAAATCACCTAATCAGTTTCAATGAACACAAACCATTCTTTCATGATTGCTAATATTATAAATAGAACAGAGGGACAAATCCAGGCCTCAGATTTGGAGGCAGAACTCCCCTTTCATTCCATCCTTCATGCTAGGAGTCTAGGGTTGTTTGGCTCATTGACTCTACTTTCTGTTACTTCCGTTCCAATACAAAGAAACCGCTGTGAAACACCAGTGTTTCAAAGTTATGTACCTGACATATGAGCAGCCTATGATTTATATTTCCCCCCAGGTATATTATTCATCAGTCAAGCTTCTAAGTTGATGCATTAAAAGTAGAAATGAATGACCAAGTTAAATTATAAATGCTTTCCAAGCCATAGCAACTGAAGAACATCATGGTATGCTGGCTCTGTGTCCCTACCAGTGCAAAGGGAAGGACAGATATTCCCCACCCCTTTTGCTCCAGAACTGGGGATCTGCTCAGCAAAGGAAAGTTTAAGTAAATCAACAAGTGCAATGTAGGATAGAGGAGTGCCTGGGACAATCTACTTTTTTGTTTAAGACCATGGTTTCTAAACATGCATGTTTATCCAACACCCCCATTCTGAGTAAGAAAGATACTATACTGATACTTTTCCATCTTTCCCCTGAACTCTTCAAAGATTTCATTGCATTTGAGGCCAGAAACCCATCTACTCTGGCCTTCTGTATATTAAAGCCCATTAAATTTCAGTCTACCCGTTTTGAGCCCAGTAACTTGTGTTTGACTAAAGCACATTTGTTCCCTTCACTATTCTGCCAAGAAATCGCTCTAGCTACACTGGTGTGATGTGTTTTTCTAGACAAATCTATGATTAGCCTCAGCAAGTATGGCAGAGCAAACTGCAACTAGTACTAATAAAGCTGTGCCATCTTTGTAGGCTCACAAATGATATATAATCCATAAAATGTGATTTCTTGGGTCTCCTAAGTACCACAATAATGTTTCAAATGCTGGTGAACAGAAGAGTGAGGGCTACTGGGGGGCATCCGTTTGTGCTCTTCTCAGTTGGGGAGGATCATATGAGTAGTTCAGGGGGTTCTTCTTATATTTTTAATCAGGGCTTCAGTGGCTGGTGGCAGGATCGGCTTACCAAAGAGGCAAAACAGATGGTAGCAAAACCTTTATTAATTGCTGCTAGGATGAATGCGGGCTGTTAGGATGGACATCTGGTGGTTTGCTTAGGAGCAACAGAACCCCGAGATCTACCTTCAGCTGGTGATGGAATGCTGCCTTTGGCCTTCCATCAAATACTTTTGGTGCAGCAACATCTCCACCTTTGAGGACTTAACAGTTTAAATACAATCTTATTTCTTCAAGGAGTAGAAGAAAGTGTTCATGAAAGTCTTCTAGAGCTAGAGCACGAGAGGTTGCCATAATGATGGATGTTAGCTAACAAGCACCATTTACATAATACAAAAGAAAAAAATTGACTTGAAAAGATTCAGTTTTAATTTTTTAGAGGGTTGGTAATAAACATGTAAAAAGTAAATAAGATGTACATGCACATCTCTCTGAACTGTTAACCCTTTCTAGGTCTTATTTTTCCTGTACAATCTCTACTTTCAAACTAGCTGAAAATTGCAGATAGTGCAGAATGCAAGTGCCTGTGGTTTTTAAGAATGGTGGGATGAAGAGACCTATGCTCCATGTATTGGCTACCAATTGAGTTCTGATTTTAAAATATTCGTTTTGATCTGCGAAATCCTAAATAGTCTGGATCTTGTCTGACTGAGTGACCACCCCTTTCCCTGTAGGATACCTGAGGCATCTTTGATCATCTGAAATTGCTTGAGATAATAGACCTCAATTTAAAGAAGAGAGATCTGGCAAACCTGGCAGAAGGCTTTTCTTTTAAGACCGCCAAAGAGCAAATATTATGGGTCAAATCTTTTGAAGTTCAGTATCCCAAATCATTTTAACCAGGGTCATCCTTTTCAAACTCTGTCTTCATTATGAATAACCGCACATTTTTGGTCGATTTTTATTTTCATTGAGTCCATACTAGCTTTAAAAAAAACAGTTTATAAATTGGGGGGGAAGGGGTTAGTAAGATTTTGGTGCCCACGTTTTTCTTAAATGGGTGCTGAGTGCTAGTGATTGCCTAACTGTTCTCTTGCTGATTCAGCATCATATTACCAGTGAATTCAAGTCACTGTTTGCTTGCTTATAGTACCAGTGAATTCAAATGAGTACAATATATTTGCTGTATAGCACCAATGGTTACAGGTTTTGGGTCATGCTCTTGCAGCAGGGAAGAATAAGTATTGAAACATCCTAGTATTGCAAGGTATGTTTCTTCATTGCGACTTGCTCATTGATGAATGAGTTGCTTGTGTGATCCTTTATTTCTGGGTAGATTCTGACTGGAATGTTTAAAACACAGCCAAGTCTATAAATTTCCTCTGCTCTTTAGAAAAGAAATGCCATGTGTGGTACCTTGCTTTTCCATCACATTCCCATTATAGGCTAATCACATTTTTCATTAAAATAAACTTACCTGTCCGGCCTTTGGATGACAACACATGACTTGGATGCTGAAGTTACTTCCAAGCACCACTGCTCTCCAGAAGCCTGCTCTGACTACAAA